TTACGATACATGAGGACAGCTATACCATGCAAGAGCCAGAGATGGGCAGAGCTCATCTGCAGACATCCACGAGAGAGAGAGAGAGAGAGAGAGAGAGAGAGAGAGAGAGAGAGAGAGACAGAGAGAGACAGAGAGACAGAGAGAGACAGAGACAGAGAGAGACAGAGAGCAAGTTATTTTGTTTCAAGAACTCCACACTGGAACCTACTCTTTGGAAATACAAGTGTTCACTGAGACATTGTTGCAAGAAACTGGAAACAAAAGCTTGTCATTATAAAAGTAATCATTTACCTGTGCTATTTATACAATAGAATTTCTTTCTTTTTTTCTTTTTTCTTTTTTTTTTTGTTTTGTTTTTTGTTTTTTTGTTTTTTTTTTTTCGAGACAGGGTTTCTCTGTGTAGTCCTGGCCGTCCTGGAACTCACTCTGTAGACCAGGCTAGCCTCGAACTCTCGAACTCAGAAATCCACCTGTCTCTGCCTCCCAAGTGCTGGGATTAAAGGCGTGAGCCACCACCGCCCGGCTCTTTTTTTATTTTTTAAGACTTATTTATTATGTATAATGTTCTGCCTGTCTGTACGCCTATATGCCAGAAGAAGGCACTGGATCTCATTATAGATGGTTATGAGCCACCATGTGGTTGCTGGGAATCGAACTCTGGGGACCTCTGGGCTCTTAACCGATGAGCCATCTCTCCAGCCCCTCTATGTAACTCTTTAAACATTGCTATAAAGATAAGATACCAAGGAAGGGCAGGGAAAGCTATGTGGGACCTTAGGCTCTCCGAGGCTATAGATAGTTATATCAAGAAAGATGGGGCAGAAACTGGAGCGCTAGACGTCAAAGTCTGACTCTAGAAGTTTAAAACAGTCTGGGAAAGGCCAAGGCAGAGGTAGAATCAGGTAAGAATTAATCATTACAAATTGGGGGTTAGGGAGGCTGTAGAAAAATGTGTGAGATTTTGTTTAAGTCTTTACTTCTTATCCATCAGTAATCCATCCTAAGGGAAATACAGGTAAAATAATGACTGGATGAAATTGCTTTAAATCACCATATGTTTTTCTATATTACTTAATAAAATGAAAGAAAAGAAAAAATGTTAATAATGTTACTTCTGGGTTATGCAATTCGGTAACTGGTGTTTTTCTTTCCCCTAACTCTATTTTCTACGTCTACCATGATGAATCAGGGTGTGGAAATGGGATATGCTTAGAAAAATCTGACCAGAGAAATGAATTACTCCTACACAGGTTATTGTAGAACTGATTGTATTAATCTGGAGACAGTCTCTCGTAAGACACAATTTACCTTTAGACTTAGCAACTGAGCAGCTACAGATGCTCTTGGCTGCCTTAACTGGATGCTGGGGTCCATGCTCCCACAATAATCCCTACACTGTTCTCTGCCTAAATTGTCCAGGACGAAGAGTACTGGTTTCCTGGTCATATGGTTTCATTGGTCAGAGGAACTGAGTGTTTAGTTAGTATTTCTCATCTGAAGGATCTCACTGGAACCCTCAGGGGCTTCTTTGTTTTCCTTTCCTTTTTCCAAAGAATACTGCACAGTTCTAAATTGGGTGCAGGCATATGTGTTGACAAAAGCATCCTAGGTGGTTTGGGGGAGACACGAGTGGTTGAGAATCCCTGGTGTAAATACATGTGTGTGAATAAGCTTGCAATCCGTTTGGAAGGATCCAAGAGAAAGTGGGAGCGATAGGGAGGGGGGCTGGGTGGCCGGAAGATGTTAATATCTTTGCTGTCTTTCAAAGATTGTGCGACTGTGTTATAAGATCAAATAAAAACACCGTGAAAGGAAACCAAATTCCAAGAGGCTCCGCCCTGGCACTCAGCTCCTCAGGGCATCTTTTCTCTTTAGCAAGCATGTTCAAAGCTATGCAAAGCGACTCTTTTAAATGCAGATATTTTTGATTTTCCATTTTTCATGGTTATCATGCATTAACTTTAAAAAGAATTCCATGAAAACATGATGAATTTCTCATTCTGATATTTACAGAAGCTAGTCCTCACTCTAGAGTCACACGCTACACCTCTGGGACGGTTCGGTTTTGCTGAACTTTGTGCTAAGCATAAGGGACACCTGTTTAAACATAATATTAAGACAATTTAGCATTTAATTCAGACTAGACGGAACTACTAGGTGATGTACACACATTTTGTTGTTTTGACATAGTGATCACTATGTAGCCCACACTGGCCCTAAACGAATAATCCTCCTGCTCCCAGAGTTCTGCTATCATAGATAACATCAGATCACACTCAGAGCATTTATTTCTTCAATAGTAAACTACTACGAAGATTCTGCTAGGATAGTCAACACTGCTGGAGAAGTCGATCTCCTCTTCCCCCTTCAGTGGCTTGGACAACTGGGCAAGAGGCTCTCAGATGCAGTCAGATGAGGACTTTATATCCTCGTGCCCTGAGCTTATACGCATATCAACATTCAGAAAACCAGAGCTGAGACTCTAGTGAGCAAATTTCATCTGAGATTAGCTGCCTTTGGTTGGGTTAGGAAATGCATCAAATGACAGAAAAACTTTGGAGTCCCTGGTATTCTCTATTCTCTCTCTCTCTCTCTCTCTCTCTCTCTCTCTCTCTCTCTCTCTCTGTGTGTGTGTGTGTGTGTGTGTACAAACACACCAATTAACAAGCTTGTTTGTTTTGTGAAGAGCAGAGGTCCATAACAGGTATCTTTCTCAATCATACTTCTTGATTTTTGAGGCAGGTTTTCTTCCAGAGCCTGGGGCTCAGCAGGACTGGCCAGGCAGCAAGCCCTGGGGGAGCAGGGGGAGCTACCTTCCAGTGCTGGGATCGCAGGGGTGTGTGTCGTACATCAGTGGTGGGATCTGAACTTTAGGTCCTTGTGCTTACTTATACAGCAAGCACTTTACCCAAGAAAGCTCCCAGCCTCAGCTTTTCTCTACACTATCCAGGGTGTCCCTCCATTCTACAAGTAAAAAGCCCCTCAAGAGAGCAGGGGTGGGGAGCAGGGGGTCGGGGTGGGGGTGGGGGTGGGGATCCATAAAGAAATTTACAGTCAACACAGAACATGCTACAAAAGACTAGCATCACTGCATACAGATGTAATAGAAATGCTCACAAAATGACAAATCAGAAACATGTCTTATTTGCCTGTTGAGAGTATTTCCAAGTATGAATGAGATTCAGCAAGGGAGAGGAGAAGAAGAATCCTGCCTCCCAAAGTCAGGGGAAAAAATCAACAACCCTACAAGTCTTCACAACACCCAGGCAGAGTCTGTTCCAGAAGCTAAAATTTCTCAGGTCAGAGCTGTGCACACACTGCTCACAGCAAGCAGTGGGAGTAGAAAGGAGGGAAGCAGGGGTCCACTAGGAGCATCCCAATCAACAGAGGCCATCCCACCAGGGCCTGCAAGGAAGCCACTACAATATGAGGAGAGGAGACAGTGCAGGACTGCGGGGGAGGGTCGATCAGTGTTAGAGTGATTGCAAGTTCATTCCACAGTACTGCAGGGAGGCGGAGGGGAGGAGGGGGAGGGGAGATGAAGGAAGGACAGAAGAGAGACAGAGGCCTAAGACCTGAAATATCACTATCCTCCTGCTTATCCAGGCCAAAGCCTGATTTTCTTGCTCAGGGGATCCCCACGATGTGACTAAGCAGGGGTAGGGAAATCCAAACACTCCTACTACCCAAGCCAATTCTTGGAATCCCCAGGAATTGGACCCAGAAAAGAGCTTCCATGCAGGCTTCAGTATTTCCAGTTCCAGCATAACCTTCCACCTTCATCAAATCCTTGGCAGCCAGGCAACCTTCAAGGCAAAGCTAAAGAGGCCCTGTGGCAGATGTTTTAAAACTTAAGCTTGCTTCAAAAAGACAGAACCAGAGAAGAAGTAGGGAGGAGGAGCAGAACCAGGAGGAGAGAAAAGAGGAGGAAAAGTGATGCCTAAGAACTGATACACAACAGTCAAGTAGGGATGGGAGGTGTAGATTATACAAGATGTCAGAGGTTGTGGGAGGTGTGAGGGGTTCAAATGCTAGTCTCTCTGCTGCTGTATGATTTTATTTGGCACAACAATTAAAAAAGCCATGTGACTTTTGGTAAAGTGGGGGTAGGGTAGTTAGGGATTCACTGCCCCTTGAACTCCTCTCAGAAGGCTTTCTCTTCTGTGAACTATCAGTAACTGCCATGTCAGTAAAAAGCCTTGTTTTGTTACTGTTTTGCTTTTGAGACAAGGTCTCACTGTGAAGTCTTGGATGGCCTCAGACTCAGAGATCTACCTGCCTCTGCCTCCTGAGTGCAGGGGTTAAAGGTGAGCACCGCCTCTGGAAAGCCTTCTTTCAACTTTAGGTGACAAAGGACTTGTGTAGTCTCAGAGAAAAATCTCAGTACCAACAGATGGGGCTGATCTGAGCAGTTCAGTTTTGACATCTGGAACTTTGGTTTGGGAGTTACCAGTGAGCATTCCTCAGAATGGCAAGATTCAGTATCTGTAGTATATTATTGTAAGTAGCAGTGAACCACTCCAGTCTGCCACCTAGATACACAGGCAACCAGTGAGGGAGGGCAGCAGCCATTGTCCAAGGAAGAACAATGCAGAAAACCACAAGCAAGAGGGCAGAAGGACTCTGGCACAGAGAGAAAAAGGCAGCAAACCCTCTGCATCTCACTTCCAGTTTTGCCCAGGGAAAACCCTCCTAAAGAGGAGAGCAAACTCTTTCCACTTCCTGCTCCTGGCCACTTCCTTCCCCTGCCTGTCCCAGGAGGCTGCTGCTACTCTGAGGCCTCCCTTTCCCTTTCTAGCAAGAGGATAGAGTTAATAACACTCCAATCACACACTAAAGAGAAACTACCGAAGTCTTGGCCTACATGGCATCATTGAGATTTGTACTCTTTACTGGATGAACAAAGCCTTCATGATGGATATTTTAGTTAATACAGAACCAAAATCATCAAATTAATTGATATGATGTACTTTGACTGGTGATTGAGAAACATCCACAAGAACAAAATTAAAACACTTTATTTAAATAGAACCAACTTCAGTAACACACATATGCACACAGTAAATCCAAACAGTATAATTGAACAGTATATTTAAATACATCAGATTCTTAAAAACTCCCCAAATGGTCTCAGCATCAAGGATGTGAGAAGGTAACTTTAAAGTGCTACAGACCAGACTGAGACAGACGAGGCGACGCCTACACAGACACTGATGAGAACACAGCCTAGAGATGTCAGGCATTCGTTAAGAACGCTTCTAGAGAATGACCCGACAGGGTCATTCAGAAGGAATACAAATGACCACCCCTCAAAAAGACGAAGGTATATCTAACAATTTCTTTGGTCCTCTAAATCAAGTCACACTGGTTTTGTTTTACTTTAAAATACCAAACTCGAGTTAAGTACTTAGCATTCTACCTAGAAATGTCTAAATAGCAAATCTGGCTAACACTGCTATCGGGTTAGATTTCAAAGTTAACTCAAAACCAACCTGACTATACTTTAGAAACTCTAAATATAGAAAGTGCTAGGAAAAGGTAGAGGTAAAATAATAATAATAAAATTAAGACCCAGCTCTTGCTTCATCATAAGCTGATGGGTGTCCAAGTGGCAGATGGGAGCACAGGAATACATTTAAAGAGCACTGTCAGCCAGCGGGAGAACTCTTCATTGGAACAGCTATGGTCATGTTTGTGCAGGGGAGCAAGAACTCTGTGATTTAACTTGGCCCTCACTGCCCCATTTAAAGGAGGACATTTAAAGAAAATGATACTAAGCCACACTTCCCCTGTGCATCTCCACAGACACCAACAGCCACAGTCCGGCTTGTCCAGGGCAGTGGGCACAGCTCCCGGCCTCCCTCACCACCCTACGCTCCTTGCAGTTCAGAGGAGCTGGGAGTCTGCAGAGCTGACTGAGAGGCAGTTCCAAAAGATCCTGGAAATAATTGCACAAATACTTCATACAAAGTTTCTGAAAATGTTTTGAAGTATCTCCTTGGAATAGACAAAGTAAACTACCAAGAACTTCTAACTGGAAATCAGCAATGTGCAGAGTGGGTACTTACAAACTTAAGAAGTAATGGCTGTCCGAAAAGACGGCAAAGTACCTACACTCCAAATGGTGTGATATTCTCACCAAGGCACAGAGTCAACCCTCTAAATGCACTTATGCTGACATGCACTACTGCAGGAAGGAATCCTCCTTCTCAAAATTTCAAAATATAAAAGGTGAAAATTTTGTGTTTTTAACTCACAGAAAAATTAAAGATAGATATCCTGCCACCTTCCCTCAGAGACTAGTGTTATAGCTGGACAGTTAATAAATATCAAGAAGAAAATGATCCTGGTAGCTTCACATACATGATCAAAACAGAGTGGCGTCTGTGGGTCTCTGAACACTGAGGGCAATGCTCTCTGTACCCATCGCCTCCAGCACTTCAATATTATACTATGCCCACTGGAGGCAGAAAACAGCACCGTGGCCACAGCTCCTTGAGTGTCCAGTGCCATCCACTAATGAGTCAATGATCATTTCAACCAAATGCATGAGCTTCCTCCTTCCCAGCATCCCTGGGGACACTGAATGGCAGCAGTCAGTATGTATACCTTATATTCCTGGCAGTTCACTTTAATGTTGCCACTAAGAAGGTGGCAAGAACAAAGCAGAAGCCCACCCCTTAGTTGATCACCTTTATTTGACATACATATAAATAATTATTAAATACAATTCATAGTGAGAACTAAAGTTTACAAGTGTACCAACTGAAACTGGAATGGACGATTAAGACAGATAGCGCTGGCAGCAGTGGGGTCTGCACACCAGGGCTGGCACACAGACGTTCAGCTCCTGATGAGTGTGAGGAACTCCTCCCGAGTCTTTGGGTCTTCTCGGAACACACCCAGCATGGTGCTGGTAACAGTCTTGCTGTTCATTTTCTGCACACCTCGCATTACCATGCACATGTGTCTACAAGAAAATGGAGCTGGTTTAAAGGCAGACAGGAGTATATATAACACTTATTTCAGTTAAATAAAACTCAGGGCAAAGATTAGTCTCAGTTCACAAGAGTATCAAAACATCGCCTTAGGAAAACATTAAACTTTCCCTTGAATCATTTTATCTCATACTGCTTTTATTCCTATTCATGGTTGGGTCCTTGATACATCCGACCTGAAGGGAAAAGCAGAATTTTCTTCCTGGGTGAAAGAACGCATACTTTTTTTTTCCTTCCAATTTTGAAGCAATTTTTATTAAATATTTAATACTGACCAATAGATGGGCTATAGTCAGGACCACTTCCTGGAATTTCCCAGCTGAGTGGTTGCATGTAGTTCTGAATTAAAATAAATTCAGAGAGGGCTTGATCTACCCTCAGGACCATGATATGATGCCATTGTACCAACAAGGGTGTCCAGAGAGATGTTCACTGACACTGATCTTGCCAGCAAATGCAGGTAAACGTGCTCAGTGAGTCTAAGCAACATGGCGAAGGCAGACAGCATACCAAGGCCAGAGCTTGGGGACCACCATAGCATGAAAGGGGATGTCCTATACCATGTTTGTGACTCTCATAACTCAGTCTAAAAGTGTCTGGAGATCATTACATGAGGTGAAGGCAGACACAGAAAGACAAGCACCACACGCTGTCACTCCAGTGTGGGATCCAAAAGAATTGCTCACATGGAACGGCAGAGTCACAGGTAACCCCATCTAAACACTGCCGTCTACTCTGCTATCAAGACACCGTGTGGGCCCCATCAGCAGTGATTATGTTTACTAAGACCTCAGTTAACAAGTTGAAAACTAGAAAATATCTGTTCTTATTATAAACAGCATCTTCAGTTGCCCTTTCTACCAACTCTTACTTTTTTTTATATTTAACAAACGCATCTTCACAAAAAAGCTAAGGAAACGGGCAAGACGCAAAAATACTGCTGACTGCACAGACTTCTACAATGATGCTTACGACTCAAAGAGCTCCAACATTCTCACAAGAGGAAAAAATGAATAGCTAGGGGCTGGGAAGATGGCTCAGCGACTAAGGGAACATCAACTGACCTGAATTTGGTTCTCAGGACCCATTTTGGGAGGCTCACAACTGTCTGTAACTCTTCTTTTGACCTCCACAAACATCACCAGGATACACGCACACAGACACACATGCACAGGATTCAAATAAGATTAAAATCAAAACCAAAATCTTTCCTATCCCTAGTTCCTCAGTCAGCAGCGTTATTTGGTCCTAGAGGAGCCGAGCGACACTAAAGGCAGAGGTTGGTGTTGATACTGCTGAGACATTATCAAAGGAGGGTTTGGACTTACGTCGCTTCAATCACTACCCCAACACCAGCAGGCTGCAAGGCTTCTGTGATGGCCACCGCAATCTGTTTGGTGAGGCGCTCTTGAACTGAAGATGTGACAAAAAGGTAGGTTTAAAGGCCAGACACAAACAGACGGAAGAGTTTTGTTTTGTTTTTTGCCTCTAGAATATTTGTGATCTTACAAAGCAGACTTCTGTGGGATTTAATATCTAAGACAAGATAGCTTTCCCTGAGATTATTCTCTCTGCTAAGTCCCTGGTCAGTTTCCTCATGAGCACTACAGGCCCTGAAGAAACCCTTCCCTGGGGCACCACTGCAGGGAAGGTATGAGAACAGCAGGCATCTCTTCCTCCAGCATCAAGAACAGATACAGGCTCACAAGGATCTCCATAGATACTGAGTGGGGCAAAGAATTAATTACCTTGTAGTAGCGTTTATGAGCATGGAAGCGAACTGCTGGACTGTTGAGAACCAATGCTGGAGCGTCACCAGGATACACACACACACACAAAAAAAGCTGGAACCCAAATAATTCAGTTTCTTCTCTTTTTTTCCCCTCTGAGACAGTTTCTCTGTATAGCTCTGGCTGTCCTGAAATTCTCTTTAGACCAGGCTGGCCTCGAACTCATGGTCCACCTGACTCTGCCTCCCGAGTGCTGATCTTAAATGGGTGTATCAGTTTCTTATGGCATCAAAAACAACTTGTCTTTCAATACATACAAAAAAGTCCTCAGAATCATGCCAATGCCAGAAAACTAACAAAATCCCCAAATGTCTCCCGGAGCAGAGATTGGCTGGTGGATTAGTTCATACAATGGAACTTGAAACAGCCACCTGACTAGGAGTGGGAGGTGTGGGAGTTGTTTAAGGTGTGTTAAGTGAACAGGAAATGGGAAGGCCGGTGAGGCTGATTACATAGGAGCCCGCTTTTGTTTAAATGTAAAGGATCTGATTTGAAAATGTCGATACATGCATAGGCATGGGAGGAGCCTGAAAGCGTGGCAGGGCTTCCTCTACAGGGTTAACACAAGTCTCTGGGACCTCCCTCAGAGGGCAATTCCTGTATCACATTTATTACATTTGTAATAGACTTGCTCTGTGAGGGAATATCTTCTGTGAGTAAAGCTTGTGCTCACCTTGCAGTCTTCGACTGTAGATTTCCACAATCCTAGAAGAGAAATGGTTTCCTTAGTCACATGTTTAATAAAATGAATTCACCAAAGCGTCCTCATGAGACAAGGACTTTGTGGCAGCGATGGTGGGACGTGGGCAGGGGAGGTGACTTTTGGGAAGCAGCAAGGGATGCAGCATTCAGGCAGAGAGCACCTGTCACACCCCAGCCCCACTCCCATGTCCCTAAAGAGTCACAGGGAGAACTAACAAGCCCCCCCCCCCCCAAGTGTAGAGTTCACTTAGGAAAGACATAACTACAGGGGAGTAACAAATCTTGACACCCCCCAGTCATCAATTTCAGGCTGAATCTCAGGCTCTCTAATTAATCATTGTTTTATCAGAGCTTAAAGTTCAAGTTAAAAATAAAAAGGCTATTTGTTAATTAATAGTAGGTCAACCACTGAACCAGCTAAATCTATTAGAGTAATCAGATTAGAGAAGATTAGATTTCTTCAGGCCTTTCTTCACGAAAGGTTTACGTAAGTATTTCACAGGGTTAATGCTCTCCCATATAAGAGGCTCCAGGCCTTACAGTGAAGCCTGACAGGTGGCAATATGGCCCACGTGAGGCTGGCAATTGGCAGGACAGAATATTTCTTTAGAACATTACTGTCTGCTCATGATTTGGACTCATTTAACAGTCACTTCTATGAGACAGTTGAGGACACACACACCTATACACATCTCTGGCAAGCTCCTCCTTTTCAGCTAACATGCATATATCAGCTACATGAATAACAGCACATTTACCACCCAATCTGGAGATCCCTCGTGGCAGGAGTCATTCTATTTCTTGGGCTCAGTAGTTATAAGATGTAGACTAGAGTTAACAGCTACTGGGCTAAATTTTTATATATTACTTCTGGGTTTGATTTTTAGGTGATTAGTTTGTCAAATACTAATGTCATTGGTTTACAGTTTAAAACTCTAGCATTATTTTAAGTAAAGTTGAACATGGCATATTAGACAAATGCAGGTAATACTGGGTGTCCGTGTTTCGTTCCACATCTTAACAGGAATGTCAGATATACTTTTTCTCCATCTAATCTGCTTGCTTCTTATAATGGGTTACTCTCATATCCTGAGCACCACCCACACTTCTGACGATGTAGAAGTGTGGTGGACTACTTGCCTAGCATGTACGAGGCCTTGGCTTACACTCCCAGCAGGAAGCATGGAGTGGATCACTGACAGAAGGTCAATGAGTATCTATGTAGTCATGTGCCAAACATGTTCCCTGTGCTCAGAGAGCTCATCCATCCATCCATCCATTTTTCAACTAAGAAGCATGTGTATTATTTGACATAAACCTGGAAATATCTGGGGAGAGGAAATTGTAAATGAGAAAAAGTCCCCATAAGACTGGCCCATAGGCAAGTCCATAGGGTATTTTCTTGACTATGTTTGATGTTGGAGGGTCCAGCTCTTTGGAAGCAGTGTCATCTCTAGAAAGGTGGTCCTGAATAGTAATAAAACACACTGAGCAAGTCATTAGGATCAATGCATTAAGCAGCACTCTTCCAGTCTCTGCTTCAGTTCCTGCTTCTAGGTGCCTGCCTTGAGGTTCCCTGCCCTTTTTTCCTTAAGGTGACAGAGTGTGACCTAAATGTCCTAAGATGAAATAAACCCTTTCCTCCCCAATTTGCTTTTGGTGGTGGTGTTTCATTGCAGCAGTAGTAATCCTAAATAAAACAAAACACCAGTATCAGAGACCAGGTTTGGGCTAGAAAGGCCATCAAGCTGAATGGGCTGGAGTGGGAACTGTAAAGGCAACGCTGAGAACAATGCAGACAACAGAAGCCAGGTTTGTGTGTGTGCCTCTTCTAAGAATATATGAATACATCAAAAATTAGTGATTGTTTTGGTTAGTCAACAAGGACTATTCACGGAACAGCTCTGAGCACTCCCAGGACAACACTAACCTGAGTTCCCTTTCACTTATGTTCACGGGCTTTCGATGTACTGTATCCTTATTTCAGCTATGAAAACTGATTCATAAATTTGCTGGACATGGTGATCGACTCCTGCAAAGCCAGTACTCAGGATGCTGATGTAACAGGACTGCCGTGAGTTCTAGGCTAGCCTGAACTACAGAGTAAGGCTCTGTCTCAAAAAGAACAAAGATTTTTGGGGCTTTTAAGGTTATCTTTTTGAAACATATGCTCTCATCTCAAAATATTAGAATGGACCCCTCAGTCAGTTAGACCCCCAACAATCTCTTATTGAGTATTTCAACTTATTGGACTTATAACTTCTATTCTCTGGGGTCTTTTCAATTATTCCAAAGAACTCGAATTTTGTCTTAAAAGCTATGGGTAGTAATAAAAGGGACAGTATAATTAAATCTGGACTTGAGAAAGAACACTGGAGCAGAAGAATCAAGGACCCTTAGAAGATGCAGAGCAGAGTCGGGACCTTAATACACAACCCAGGAGGAAGAAGATTCAGGCTCAGCGTGGGTGGCAGCCATGGGTGGCAGCGAGGACAGGAAGGGGAAAGCACCTGTCAACCAGAAGGCAAGCTGTATGAGGCAAGGAGCACCCAGGAGCAATGAAGGACTTCTTCCTTTTTTCTGGTCCCAAATACATCAAGATGTAACAGAGATTTAAACATAGAATAAAGCCTGAAGCCACACAAACACAAACAAGTACACCACTTGTACTTACTGGAAAAGACAAAGATTAAAGAACTCACCACTGAACTGGGTTAAATGTACACTGCTAAGTTTTCTGTGCATAAATATGACTATGCTTTTAAAAATTCATCACCAAACTCTCCCCACTTTTGACAACTGTCTCAGACTGCAAACTATATTTACCTGTGTTGAAAAGCTAGGCAAATGAATGGCCAGTCAAAGAAATATAATGTAGCCCTTTTTTGATATAGGTTCTCGATGTGTAGCCTTTTCTGGCCTACAGTTTGCTATATATACCAGGCTGGCCTTGAACTCAAAGATCTGCCTTGCTGGGAGGCTTTTGAAACTAAAAGATGTCAAGAAATTTCAAGATACTTTAAAAGCCAAATGTGTTAAGGAGCCAGAAAGATAGCTCAGTGGTTAAGAACACCAGTTGCTCATATAGAGGACCCAGGTTCAGTTCCCAACACCCACATGGTGTCTTAAAACTATTTGTAACTCCAGTGTCAGAGGATCTGATGCCCTCTTCTGGCATCCATGGGCACCATGCATGCCTGTAGTGCACAGACATGCACACATGCACAATATTCTCAGATATAAAATAAGTCTTTAAAATATTTTAAAAGAAAGATGTAATGTTAGGCATAGTGTCTTTAATTGTTTTGTAACCAAAGCCAACTTCACAATATCTCCTCACCACCCTTGGGTTAAATTGCCTAATTCTGGTAATCAATCTGGCTACACACACTAGAATGTGCCTTGTTCCCACTTTCTGGTTTGCCTTTCTTTAAGTGTTAGCCACATCTTAGGATTTCTCCCTACTTAGGAATCTGTACATCCCTCCACCTCTGCCTGGGCACACCACAGTTCACAGTTGCTCTGAACTTAAGGCAAACCTATTCGTGCACTTTGGTCTGAACGTGGGGCCTTGGGTATGAGGGTGGATATTTCTGTGGCTGCAGAGACCTCATCCCATTCCCCCTCTAAGAGGGGGGTGCTGTCTGCTTCTCTCCGGCCATGGCAGTAGCTGACCTGGAGAGTTCTTCCAAGCCAGGTATCTCAATACCCAGGAACTACAATCCTAAATCCAAGATTTAATTATATTCATTCAATTGTTCTAAGGCAAGAAAACATACAGCTTTTTGGTCTGAGTTTACTCTAGACTTCCACTAGAACCAAATGAAATCACTTCTGGTATCTTCCTGTGAGTTGAGGCTTTCCTGCTTGATATTTGACTTCACTGGAATGGAAAGGTCATGCATTTAAAGGCAAGCAGACAACAAACGGCTCACACAAGATTAAAACGAACAGTGAGGTTCACTAGGACATGGCTTTCTTTATTACTCCTTGATCTCTAAGCATTCTTATTTCTTAAAAGAAATGGGTAGTTGAACACCCAATGCCTTGGTTTGGTGTTCCATTTTATTCTTAAATTTTAATCCTATTAGCACAATGGCAAATCCTCATGCTAACAATCAGTTTCTTTGTAATGCTTCACAGAAGATTTAACTATTTAAGGTCTTTTCACCAGGAAAGGACAACCAAGATGAGCCTTGGCACCAAAGAGAGGAAAGTAAAAAGACCATACCTAAGCTTAAAGTGCTGCGATACTTCTTTTAGTCTGGAATCCATCACTGACTCAGTCTTCCCTGTATAGACTGTCTATTACAGTCTCAACAGTGCCAGAATTCCCATGATAAAGGCAAAATTAACATTCTTGGTGGAAGAGAACACGAGAAAACTGCACCTATGACTGTGTTTGTGCAACAAGCATCCTCTCTTTGGTGCCACGGCTCAAGCCCAGGGCCTCATTCAATCTGGGCAAGTGAATGGCTCTATCACTGAGCCATACCCCCAGGCCTCTGAAGACCTTGAAGACCACTCTCTGTTGAATGACTGACAGTATGAGAGATGGTTTCTAGGGTGACCCAGTGGGGTTATGGAGTAAATGATGACTCAGGGGCACAGGAGGACAATCTTGGTTATATTCTTTCCTGGTGAAAAGACCAGGCAAAACTCTATAGAGAAAGTTGTGAGCTCATATGTCAGTAATGGGCTTGGGGAGAAAGAGGAACAGGTACTGTGGAAAAAGGCAAAGACACCGTGTTAGAGTTGCCTATGCAAGTACATTATAACTTCTAGGTTAGATCCATACAGGTAGAAATAAGAAATCTTTACTATAAATTATTTTTTGTGCACTGGTGTTTTGTCTGCATGCAACTGTGTGAGAGTGTCAGACCCTGGAGCTACAGACAGTTGTGAGCTGCCATGTGGGTGGTAGGAATTGAACCCTGGTGTTCAGGAAGAGCAGTCAGTGCTTTTAACCACTGAGCCATCTTTCCAACCTGGAAGAAATCTTGAGAGTCTTGGCAAACAGGAATGATTCTAGAAACCTCATACTGACCTGGCAAGTTTGCTGAGACCAAGGACTTGCTTGTTAGGAAGATAACCAATATGGACCTTCAGGGAAGAGGGAGAGGTTATCAGCTAAGTAAAAACACAGAAAGCACTTCATAACAACACAAACAGATACAAGAAGGCCGTAGCATACATTCAAGTTAAGTTTATTACAGTGACAATGTATCTTTAAAACCTTTGAAGCAATTCCATACATATTTTCAAATCATATGAAGAAACTCCTTAAGAACATACTTGTTACTGAAATGACAAATTAAAAGTGAACTTGTAAGATGCCTTGGTAAAATTCTTGATTCAAATCTAAAAGCCTGTCAAGAAGAACTATACTCAATAAGGAAAAAAAAATGGGCACACAACATCACAGTATAGTCAGGGAGACTCCTTTAAATGGCAGCGACTGTACAGATGAATGATGTTATTCCATGTTATTCCATGGAGCAGGCCCAGGCATGCTGGAGGGCTAACTCAGCTTCCACCCTAGCCCAGATGCAGGGCCCTGAGCTAGCCCAACCCAACATCCACCCCACCCAGTTCTGCTGAAGTGTGTGAAGGGGTAGGTCCCTCAGATCCAAAACTGCAGGATCTTGATGGCACAGAGCAACAGAGGAATGCCCGAGGAGTCCCCATGAGGATCCAGTACTGATAGTGTGGCAGAAGCCAGAGGCCTCCAACCAGACCTCATTGCAATGAACATTTGCAAGTTAAGCTATTTGGGGCAAAAGGGTATACTGTGCGACACACCATCCATGACACAGTACAGCTTCCATGGCAGGATTCTGTTTGTTCTGTTTGTTTGTGAGTTTCTTTGTTAGTTTGTTTGTTTTGTTTTGTTGGGGGGAAGGTTGCAAGGACAGAGGGTGATATAAAGGGATGGACAGGGAGATGAATGGGATTGAGCTGAATGATGTGAAATTCACAAAGAATCAATTAAAAGTTCTTAAAAAGTGTGCAGAGATTAGATAGGTAATAGACGTGTAGATAGGTAGGCAGGCAGACAGACAGACAGACAGACAGACAGACAGACAGCACTAAATACTAAAGAGGGAAGTACCAAATGCTATTGGAATATAAAATATTGATAGCTCCCACATGCTCCTTTGCAGGGCTGAAGGCCAGCAGGGAGCAGGGTGAATATAGACATATCTATGACCTGCAATCCCACTCCTAGATACATGGGCAGCCTTGGTTGTTGGTTGGTTGGTTGCGGTTTTTGTTGTTTGTTTTGTTTTGATTGGTTGGCTTTTCAAAACAGAGTTTCTCTATAAGAACCTTGGCTGGCCTGGAACTTGATATATAAGCCAGGTGGATACCTGCCTTTGCCTCTGGGATTAAAGGTGTACGCCACCATGCCCGGATCAGGCCATATTGTTTTTAACAGCAAGAAAAGAAAACAAGTGAAGGGAATTGTGGTTTGTACAATGCAATAATATATAACAACAAAAATAAACACATCTTCATACATTGTACCGTTTCTGTTTTCCAACTATAAGAAAATAAAATATTTTAACAAAGCAAATATTAAATATTCATATTATACCCTACAAGTCTCCTATTGGAAAATTAATAAGAGAGTCAAAGTAGAATTAAACTATTATGAGAGTTGGTATATATAACAGGACATCTCTATTGTAAATATTCATGTCCTCAAAGGTGCATCTAATGACAACTCTGACTTATCTAGCTTGGATTCGATTCTCTCTCCCTAATATAAAAAGGGATAGAATCCAATTAAATCCACTAATACCATAACCTCTGGCTCCAGAAACTCTGCCGTCATCCCTGCTTGGGTCACAATGTCATGCTCTGTGTACATGGACCTTGGAGCAAGCAGTTCGTTTAAAATAGAGGGCAACGCTTTTCAGAGCAGCAGGAACCACCCTTAAAGTATGCAAGTTCAACCTCATTGTCCCAACCAACACACAGGGTGTTAAAGAGGAAAGGTCTGGTGGGCCATCTTTGGGAGTTGTTTTCAAGACAAAGTCTATGTGCATAGGCAAGCCCCAAACTCTTCATCCTCCTGCCTCCACCTCATGATTGCTAATGTTATAGGCATATGCCATCATCTGACTTGTTTGCTTTTTGAATTTCCTTTTCTTTTTAGTTTTTTGAAACAGGGTTTCTCTTTGTAGCTCTGGCTGTCCTGGAACTCACAACTCTCTGCATAGACCAGGCTGGGCTCGAACTCAGAGATCTGCCTGCCTTTGTTTCCTAGGATCACAGGCATGTGCCACTACTGCCCAGCTTAAATTTCCAATTATTAGGTTAGTCAAAATTGATAGTCAAAAATTACCTGTATAGACTGCAAATACTGAGACTATCAAGAATCAGTTGACAGTTTGAAATACAATTGTCCTAACTTAAGATTTTCATTATACTTTCTTAAATTATTAGATAATAATTTAATAATTATATTAATAAGAAGGACTTACCCTTCCCACAAATGGAACAAGGTGATGTTCACACATGGAAAACATATCTATATCCTTCACAATCACCATCTCATCATGATCCTCATCAAATATAGCATCATTCAGGACATCTGGAATCAGGAAAACACAAATCCACAAACCACTTAGGTTAAATACAAAAGGACTGTAAATATTTTTAAACCCTTACGAAACATTAAGAAAATAAAAGTGAAAACTAGTTTATTTTCCTTTCTAAGCAAGCTGCCTCTTTTTCTTAATTGATATAAAACATCTTCTGGACAACGTTTCAGGAGAAATGCAGACTTCCAAATGCATTTGTATCATGAGCTGGGGGGAAGGAGGGGAGGGGGCATGACAAAGTGAGCGGCTGTGTGTGGAGGTGGAGACGGGGGCTGCTCTTCCCACCATCACAGTTCCTAACAGAGATGTACAAAGATCCTGTAAACTTGGGAAAATTCTCCAAATTATCAGAGGAAATGTCAGACTTACTCTAAGTGGTTGCCTTCCTAAAGAAATAAATCCTATATTCTGCATGTGTATGCCTCTCTAGGGGGCAGCAGTCATGTAAGCTGTGAACCTCACACATATGGCCAGGCAGACAAGAGACAGTCAGACAAGATGCCTTATGTTTAAAGGCTGCACTTAGTAACGGTCCCTTCCTCATCTGCAAGGGAGAAGGTTACCCAGAGGATGTTCAAGGGAGCACTGAGTCCTTTAACATTCTGTGACAGCAAGAGCACCCTGCCCTGGCTGCAGAAAGATAAAGGGATATAAGCCACAGCCATCACTGTGATATAGCCATGGTGTTGACAAACTGGTAGATGCCCTAACAGTCTATGTAAGTGCCAGGTGTCATTGCCACATGAGAAGATTTCCTCACTTTTATAGAACAAACACATGCACAGGAAAACCCTGATCTCACGGCTTGGAATACCAGGTAACACTGAGACAGCTAGCTAGTATGGAACTTCAAGGATCTGGGGAATACTCAACCCACACAGTACAAGAAGACAAGAGTGGGGGATGAGCATGGCTTTGCAGCTGCCCACAGCAATTTTCCCCTTGGAAAGACAGGCTATGAGTCACAGAGATGTACAAATGCCCACCCCACTGCCTGACCTTCAGGGGCTCAGGTACTGAGTCATGCAGAAACCTCTGTTTTCATGAGGCCACTTGGAATCGCCTTGGATTGAGTGGCAGGAGAGTCACTACTGTGGCCAGCAAGAATGGACACGTGCAGGGTTTAAACACAGACCAACAGGGATAAGAATGGAGCAGGGACAAGCTCTGTCATTCTCTAAGTAAATGCTTCTTCTCTGACAACGGTCCCCTATGCAGAATACTCTGCCCTAACCTTTGGTTGCATTTCTAAAAGCAGTTTAAATATAGCTCCTTGGTGTTCCCAGAAGTACCCTGGATTTCTCCAGTACCGTGATAAGGCTATGGACAGCTCACAAAAATTCTTGGTCATATGAGAAATAAACATGAGAGTATAAATATGAGAATAAAAATAAAACAATGTTTCTAAATAAACTAAAGAGAGCAGGGGATGCCAGGCATCCATTTTCTCTGGCAAAGGAAATCTTCCAACTTCTCACAATTACACACATATTAGAGTCAACCTCAAGCTAGGCTAAGCAGGACCTAACTGGCTGTTGGACCTTAGGCAAGGCACAATGTGAGGAACAGGCTAGACTATAAGATCACTTTAGTAGAGTTCTCTAGAGATAAGGGCTAAGCTATCTAGGCTAGACTTGAACCAATCATCTGCCTAACCCAGCTTTCCAAGTAACTGGGATGATAAGATTGTACCATCAGGCATGGCTCCATCGGTAATCTTTTGAAAATTCATTAAGGTCATAAAAAAACATGAAAGAGTCATAAAATTGTCAGAGTAGAGGAGATTAGTGAACTATGATAGCTAAGTGCAATTAAAACTAAAATCAGAATTTGAATAAACATGTTGGTTAACATCATTATGCCAATATTGACTTAAGTGTTAGCAACTGTACCATGGGCATGGGAGGCATCTGGGGTAGAAGCTGGAGAGATGGACTATGAAAAAAACCCTCTGTACCGTCTTTGTAATTTTGCCATAAGTCTAAAATTACTTCAAAATTTAAAAAAAGGATGATGTCCAAGAACTGCTGTGTATAAACAATGGAGTCTAACTCAGTGAAAGACAATGAACTGCAGACACAAAGCAGTATGTTCGGTCTCTGTGTGGCATAAAGTCACAAACACAAAAGGCTCCTCTCGTGCATGGCCAGCAACACGCAGCCAACGACAGATCACATATGCATCAGTGTCTGAGAAGGCTCTATCTCCTGGCATAACAGTCTTCTCAGCTCAGTTTTGTGCAGTTTGAAGAGACAGCCAATTGACACACTATTGCCCTAGGTGTGAAGTTCTAGGAAAGGCCAAAGTATAGTATAGTATTGGGGTGGGGAGGTTAGGTGGCTTTCAGGGGCTGGGGAGAGCGGAAGTGCAAATTGACAGGGAGGAAATTTGGTGGTGGCCCTATCATCACCTTGTAGCTAGTTGATTGTGTGTGTGTGTGTGTGTGTGTGTGTGTGTGTGTGTGTGTGTGTGTGTGTGTGAAAGAGAGAGAGAGAAAGAGAGAGAGAGAGAGAGAGAGAGAGAGAGAGAGAGGTCAGCTATACCTTAACAAATTTAACTATTTTTTATTATAATGCAATATGCAGTCTCCTGTGTGGCGTAAACATTTATCCCCCAAAAGAAATGATGGAAGGCTAAATCACAAGCCTAATAAAATAATTACTTAGGGATTACAAATAAGAAAAAAAAAGGGGAAACAGCTAGGAATGAAATGAATTTGACAATTTTTTAGAGATTTCTTTAAATTATGTGTATGGGGACGGGGTATATGCACATGTGAATGCAGAAGCCTGGAGACCACAGGACACCGAATCCCCTAGAGCTGGAGTTAGCAGTACTTGGAATTGAACTTGCGTCCTCTGGAAGAGCAGCCAATGTTCTTGACCACTGAGTCATCTCCCCAGCCACGCGATGTAGTTTTGACTTTTGAGTTGATATGTTTATATACTCAAACCAAGGAGAAGCCTAACTGTCCTCCGAAGGCTTAATGCTTTGTGTAGAACTGACACTACTGTGTTACCTGTATCACATTTCATTAAAATGAACCCAGACTGTAAACTAGACCTCACCAAGTCAGTTTTCTTCAATAATGAAGGTTCCCTGCTTTATTTACTTTATGGTTTGCTCCCACATATCTGAAAGCTGCCATCTGTGGATAATAAGAACAAAGCCTTATCACAAATTGTTTTAATTTCCTGCCTGCTATCAGCAGCAAGAAGGTAACCCTGGAAACGGGGTTCATAGCATCCTCCTTCCTACTGCCTGTTAGTCACAACCACAAAGGAAACCAGAGCAGTCTCCTGACGTTGGTCTGTCCACACCACCACTGCCCTTGTCAATGTTAAGCAATGAAGCAACATGGCTGAGCAGCCATCCCTCAAGCCTCTGGCCCAGTAGGACCCCTCCTGAAAATACAGTTAAGGCACACATGTGATGCTCTCTAAACATCTTCTGAAGCAAAGATGTCAGACCTCTCCCATGGTTGTGTTAAAACACAAATTGCTGGGTCCCATCCACAGTCTCTGTAGGTCAGGGTAGGCTTGAGAATCTGACTTCTGAAAAGCTCTGAGACTCTAAGATGCTGGTCCAACCCCACAGAGAGTGCCTGGTGTCGAGCATCTCTGCTGCTACCTAAACCTTAGCATCTCCTACATGTTCCTGCTCAAATGTGTATGTACATTTAGGACAAAGAGACATGTTTTGCCAGGGGAAAGGACAAAAGGGAAAGACATGGGAACTATCTTGCTTTTTACCACCATCATTGTTTTGGGCACAAGAATGGCCTTCAAGGCCAGGGTGTGATACTTGATTCATCTTCCAGCATGCAAACCTGATGAAAGATGGCTTTGGAGCCTTGAATGAACATCCATCTGAAGGACAGGAAAGATATGGCAGGGCTTATATCCTGTCTAGAGAGAAAGATAAGGGGAAGGAACAATGCAGCCCAGGCAGGCGGGAGCAACACAACCCAGAGCATGTCATTTCTTTTTTTTTTTTTTTTGCGTTCTTTTTTTTATGTATAATTTATTTTTTCTTAAATCGTAATTCATTCACACAGGGGTTATAAACATAGAAAGGCAGGATGTGGGGAAGGGAATGACACTGGAGTGTGGGTGTTCAGGGGGAATACAGATATCTTCAGAACCGGGTATCGGCTGGGTGAAGGTTCAGGGGACAAGTCACTATGACTCTGCCTATGACTCGCTTGTCCTTATCTAAGTTGGTATTGTCTGCCAAGGCTACCCATTAACAAGGTCTATGGCTACTCAGACTTGCAAATTTCCACAAAAGCTGCCTGTTTGCATTAGCTTATAGCCATCTGTTTCAATGTTTTTCCACTGAGACCCAAGACTTGGTGTTAGCATACATGTGTGACAGGCCTATTGCTGATTTTAGGCCTATGACTGATTTTAGGCCTTCAGTGTGTAAGCAGGGCTGCCCCTGACATCTCCCTTCTCTAAGTATAGAAGGGCTGTGGCAATTCTAAACTTGCGAAGGCGGGGATAGAGGCCTGACCTCCAGTATTTGAAGGGGACCTTGTAATGGCTCCAGTCCCCCTGTCATTGTCCAGTGAGGCATGAGGGCCATACCCGTTCCGATGTCTTTTTCCTGGAGAGGGGATACTTTTGACATCAACCCCTATGCAGTCAGGCTTGTCCCTCAGGGAACCCAGAAAGATATTTTTATCTTTTATTTATATTCCCTTGCAGTGCTTAGCCTTGCAGCCTAAGCAAGAATTCAGATCGCCTGTCAGAGGGGGTTCTGGGTGGCCCCTCTCTGCTTGGTCTAGGGGCAGAAGTCCCCCCTTTTAGGTTGGGTGGAGATGGGTTTTGGAAACACCCAGTATAAAGTAACAACCTCATCTTGAGTCTCGTGGTCCTCCATAGCTAACTTATGATAATATATCTAAGTAGGTTTTGCTACCAAATTATCTGTTGTTTCACAGAGTTAGTCAGCCTATTTGAGGGCCAGGGACCAGCAGAAAAAAGCA